TTATAATTTTAGTAGAGATGGGGTTTCACCATGTTGGTCAGGCTGGTCTCAAACTCCTGACCTCAGGTGATCCACCCACCTCAGCCTCCCAAAGTGTTGGGATTACAGGCATGAACCACCACGCCTGGCCTGTTATTTCTCTTTCTTTCCTGACTGCTCCAGCGGGGACTTCCAGCGCTGTTTAAACAGAAGTGTCAAGAGGGGGCTTCCTTGCCTTGTTTCTGATCTGAGGTGAAAGCTTTGTGCTTTTCACTGTTAGCTGTGGTTTGTCATTAGGTGTGTTTGGGATTTTTAAATCTTTCTTCACCTCATGATCATGAAAATATTCTCCAACGACATCCTCTAAATGCATTTCTCGTTTCCCACCTTTCACGTTTCCACCTAACCTCCATCTGAGATGGACTCTGTGGAGCGGGAGGTGGAGTTTAAGGTTTTCTTCTCTGAGGGGATCCAGCTGTCTGTGCATCGCTTATTGAAACATCCTTCCCTTCCCCACTGCCCGGCGCAGCCACCACCGTCGTGGCAGGGGCAGAACAGGAAAGCAGCAGCCGGACTAGACACTCCAACAACAGTGTGGCACGGGCCGCCCAGGGGTGCCCACGGCCCAGCCCCGGTGCCTGTGAGCCTGTGACGTCGCATGGTCCTGGGGCTTTGCAGATACGATTCCAGACTTGAGGTGGGAGACGATCCTGCGGATATGGGAGGGCCCAGGTGATGACAAAGCCCTCACATGAGAGAAGCAGGAAGGCCAGAGAAAGAGCTTGGGGGCTGCGCTGCCGATGGTGAGGATGGAGAGCGTGGCCAGGAGCCAGGAACGGATTCTCCCCGGGAGCCTCCAGGAAGAGGGTGGCCGGGCTGGTGCGCCATTGTGAGCCGGTGAACCCCATTCGGACCTCCAATTCCCAGAACCATCAGACAGGAAGCGGTGCCACGTTTAGCCCCCGTTTTGTAGTAATTGGTTAACGGCAGCCACAGAAACTAACAGAACCCTCACCACAGAGTAACTGAAAATCAGGCTGCCGGTGATCTAAGTCTTTTTGAAATGCATTACCCAGCGGCCACAAAAGGAAGAGATAGGCTGAGCCTTGAGTGTCCTCAGCCGCGAACCGCTGAGTCTGGGGCGCCGCCAGGTGTGGCCGCACCGCGTGGTAAAACGCTAAGGGCACCACCAGAGAGCTGGTGTGCAAACTCCCAAAGAATAGAGAAGGAAGAATGAATGAGGAAGACAAATGGGCCAGTTACCTCAATCAAGGCATCCAACAGCCAGTAATGGAGAAACACGTAGAAAACCAGGACAAATAAAAATAAAACAGTAAGATGGTAGAAGTTGGCCAATTTATGTTGTATATCAGAAAAAGTAAATTGGCCAACCCTGCTAACGAGACGACGGGAGATAAGAGGATGCAGCTGCATGCCCTTTGCAGGAACACACCCATCGCAAGTGACCCCCACGTGATAAACCAAGAGAAGCGAAAATGAGTAAATATTTAAGAGTAACCCTGAGGGCTGGTGTCTGACTCTCAAGGGAAACAGACTTCAGAACCAGGCATTATTAGGGACATGGACACCATGAGAATCAAAGGTCCACCTCCTCAGAGACATGAAATAGCCTCCAAATACAAGAAGCAATAAAAAGTAGAAACTGCGGGGTGTGGCCGTTGACCAGCCCCGACGCTGGGAGATCTTACCGTGCCTGGATTACTGACAGGTCTGACAGACAAAGCAAAAAGAGGGGATTCGGGGTGACGTAATTAACAATCTTGGCTTAATAGAGACATGGAACTCTGTGCCTCAAAAGTGGCGATTTGCAATCTTTTCAACTACGCTGGGAATAATCACAAAATTGAGAAGCAGATCCTACCGTGTCTCAGACGCCAGCAGATGGCCCACACCTGAGGCCAGTGTGAGGAGGGCGGAAAGCAGTTCTCCAAGGCAGACTTTTTTCCATTCTCGCACACTTGAAAATTCAAGACCACACTTCTAAATATCTCATGGGACTCAGAAGAAATGAAATGATCATGGAAATGTTAAAAACTAGCGAGATGTTGCTAAACATAACTTAGAAGGTGTTGCAACTGTAAATGTCAATGTTAGAACAGGAAAAGCACCAGGATTCAGAAGCTCAGCACCTGATTTAAGAAGTCAGAGTTGGCCAGGTGCGGTGGCTCACGCCTGTAATCCCAACACTTTGGGAGGCCGAGGTGGGTGGATCACGAGGTCCGGAGATCGAGACCATCCTGGCTAACACAGTGAAACCCCATCTCTACTAAAATACAAAAAATTAGCCAGGCATGGTGGTGGGCGCCTGTAGTCCCAGCTACTCAGGAGGCTGAGGCAGGAGAATGACGTGAACCCGGGAGGTGGAGCTTTGCAGTGAGCCGAGATGGTGCCGCTCACTCCAGCCTGGGCGACAGAGCGAGACTCCATCTCAAAAAAAAAGAAGTCAGAGCAAGGAGGCAGAATAATCTCAGGGTGAGCAGAGGAGCACGTGCAGAAAGATGACGCCGAGGAAACATCTCCGATGCCACGGAGAAGGGCAGCCAAGAAAGCCGGAAACGGAAGGAGACACAGCCCTGATGGTGCACCAGAGGCGACCAGAGAACGTGGGAGTCTCCAAGCAACTTTGAACCAATGTAGCAAAACCCCTGGGCAGCAAGGACGAAATACTAGGAGAAAACACTTTGAGATGCCAGGAAGAAAGCAAACCTGAATAGTCTCATAACCAATAAAAAAGCACATCAATGGATTTAAGTCTGCCCACAAAAAAATATCCTTTTCTCCATGTTTCCACTGAATTCTGCCAGACTGTCAAGAAACAATCATGTCAGCATTAGATAAATCTCCCCAGTATCAGAAAAAGTAGACAGCTCCTCCCATCCTTCCCTAGGCCAGCCTAACTCCTCCCAGATGCTCCAGAATGGCACAAAAAATGCATAAAAAGATAAGCTGTCATCACTCAGTTTAGCCTTTTCTCTCCCCTTCTTCCCACTTCCTGATGGGGTCTCGCTCTGTCACCCAGGCTGGAGTGCGGTGACACAATCACAGCTCACTGCAGCCTCCACCTCCCGAATAGCCTGGATTACAGATGCAGGACGCCATTCCCGGCTAGGTGTTTTTTAGAAACAGGAGCTAACTCTGTTGCCCAGGTTGGTCTCGAACTCCTGGGCTCAAGCGATCCTCCCATCTCGGCCTCCCAAAACACTGGGATTACAGGCGTGAGACACTGTGCCCGGCCCCAGTTTAACCTTAAAACGCTACAGGTGTCCTAGAAGAACAGTCGTGTGAGCATTTCAGTCAGCGCAGGGTGAAAGCATTTGATAAAACGCACACATTTACTTTGTGAGCCAGGAACCGAACGCAATGCCCCATCCTGATAAGTCGATCAAAAGCTAGAGAGAGCCTCCTTAATGGGGGCTCCCTTAGAAGCAGCCTCTCTGAAGGGGGTGAAGCAGTGAGCCCCATCCGTGCGTCCATTCTGCTGTCTGCTGGAGGCCCCAACATAGGCACACAGAGAGGAAAGGAAAGACGGGGCACAAACAGGAGGGAAGTGACCATCCTTCCCAGGCACACGGCTGTCTATGCAGAGCCTGCAAAAGAAAGTGTTCGTGTAGACAGGGGCCGGTTGTAAATCCCTGTACAGAAGGCCCTGGAACCGGTGAGGGGCCCAGGCACGGCAGGCACACTGGTGAGTGCCCAGTGGGGTGTGTGAATGGCAGCCAGGTGGGCCTTGGAGCCTTTCGAGAGTGGTTCTTCCTTGAGGGCTTTCCCCAATCCCGTGAACCTTTGCATTTCAGAAGTTATTGCCTTGTCAACTTCACAAAAATTAAAATTGCTTGTTTTCACAACTTGTGTTTTTTCATTGAAGTGAAATTTGCATAACATGAAATTAACCGACAGTGTGGCCGGGCGGCTGCCTCGAGCTGCTGCCAAACATCCCCGCCTCTTTCTTGTCTTCAACAGAAGGTGGCGTGAAAAAGGAGGGGAGAAGCAGAGACCCCAAAAAGAGAAGCCTAGTGAAGAAGGGCAGGAAGGTAGGTGGGGGTCTGTGGTGGGGGATCGGGCTGGTGGGCACAGCTGGAGGTCGGGCTCGGGCCCCTGCACCTGGCGTGACCTGCTCTGTGGGCACAGCTGGAGGTCGGGCTCGGGCCCCTGCACCTGGCGTGACCTGCTCTGTGGGCACAGCTGGCGGTCGGCTCGGGCCCCTGCACCTGGCGTGACCCTGCTCTGTGGTTGCAGGGCAGCGTCCCCCGGACCATCCCCGCTGACTGCATCACAGTCGACTCCGACAACTTCAAGTGTATCCTTTGATGAGCCCCAGTGGGGGGACCGAGACCCCACCCTGTGCTCCCATTTCTCCTTGACCAGGACCCAGTCATCGTGGACCCATACGAGGAGGCCCAGGGCCCAGGTGGGTGCTGCACAGGGCTCCCTGTTCAGGCACACGCCAACCTCGGGCCTCCTGCCGCCCTGCAGTTGTGGACAGCAGCTGGTGCCCCACTCCTCGAGGCTCCAAAATCTGCATATGTGCTTGCCCTGTGTTGGCTTTAAATATTTTAATTTGTTGGGGTTTTCTCTCTGGCTGGCCTGGTTCTACCATCACCCCACAGGGCATGGCAGGGCACTGACACATCCACCTGCATTCACCGTGACCCCTCCCCAGGGCCCCGGCCCTGCACACGTGTGTCTGATGAAGTACCGTGGTCTGTATCCACCCCGTTCTCCTTGCAGAAATGCTGACTCCTGTCTCCGTCACCCAAGACATTTTGGAAAGATTCCAAGACACATTCACTTCGCGATGGGTGGGACATCTGGGAAGCAAGCACTTTCCCAGGTTCGGATCTGGGCTCCCAGGAGTCGTTTACAGTGTGGCAGGTCTCGAGGGTCCAGCGGGGAGCCACTGCCCCCCACTCCCAGCTCCCTGGGTCTGCCCCGCAAGTCCCACCAGGTACAGCAGGCGATGCTGAGACAGACCCAGCTCCTTGAGTCCTCACAGAGACTGGGCAAGGGGCACTGTCCCCACTTTACAGATGGCAACCTGGGGCCCCCAGGGTCACCGATAGCACGTGGTCCAGCAGCAGGGGCTGCCTCTTCACCACCAGCACTGCAGCCCCTCCAGAGACCACTCACAGACTCTGCCCCCCAGATGCCCTCGGGGTTCTGTGGTCCAGAGGTGTCCACAAGCAGCCAGCAAGGAACCAGAGCAACCAGGGAGAGCCACGGGTGGGAGGGGTCGCTCTATGTCACAGGCTGCATGCCAGGGGCGAGGCTGCAGGGGCAGGTGTGTGCAGGGGCAGGTGTGTGCAGGGGGGGGCGCTGCAGGGGCAGGGCTGCGGTCCTGTATGGAAGGAGGGAACCCGGGTTTGGCCACTGTCTCCCTGGAGTACTGGGGGTGCCTTGACCTCCACGTGCTGGGCCATTGGGAAAGCCCCCACACTTCCCGCAGCCAGCCCTGCCCGGGGAGGGTGTTCATTCCAGCACAGAAGTCAGTGCTCGTGGGGGGTCCCCTTGACTAGGCTCTGACGGAACCCCTGTGATCGGAGCACAGAGGAGGGAGGCGTGGGCATTGGGAACAAGAAAGTTAGTTCAGCTGAACGCACAAGTGGGACAGGCGTGGACCACACAGGATGTGGCCTGCTTTAAGAACCCACGGTGGGGTCTGGCGTAGGTGCCTGGGCACTGTTGACCCGTGCTCTCCTCTCTCTGCAGCCAGGCCCAGTGGGAGCAGGCCCTGGGCAGCTGCAACGGCTTCTTCTTCTATGGGATGGAGAGCTTCCTGTCCCATATATTAGTGGAGAGATTGGTCGCCATGAACTTGCAAGGTGAGAGGGGTCCTCTTGGCACCCCTTCCCCCGGGGGCACAGCACAAATCCGCCTGAGGACAAAGCAGGGCCACTGTAACCTGCTGGTGCTGCCCCCACCCTCTGTGGCCGCAGGCCCCTCCTGACCCCACCCTCTGTGGCCGCAGCCCCCACCTGCCCCCCACCCTCTGTGGCCGCAGCCCCCACCTGCCCCCCACCCTCTGTGGCCGCAGCCCCCACCTGCACCCCAACCCTCTGTGGCCGCAGCCCCCTCCTGCCCCCACCCTCTGCGGCCGCAGCCCCTCCTGTCTGCAGGTGGACGACCTCTGCTCCCCCTGCTCCCCCTGCCTGGCCCACACAGACGTGGAAGCCACAGGAGCTTCTGGCCTTCCCGTCCTTCATTTCTGAGTGCCCCCACTCCGCCCAGCGCGGCTTTTCAGACCTGGCAGGCCAGGAGTCAGTGCCGGGCCCAGGAGCCCAGGAAGGCTGGGGTGGGCAATTCAGGACCTCACTGGTCACAGCCCCTCCCTCAGGGCCCCGCTAGTCTAATCACAGGCACTTGGGACCTTGCCTTCCCCTTCACTGTCCACCAGCCGTGGAGGGGCTGCCAGGTGTGGTCCTGCCGTGCCCGGCACAGTGACACCCCAGCCAGCTGCAGCACAAGGGGGCTTTTGGCAGGAGGTGGGGATGGCACAGCAGGCTGGGGGCATGGCATGAGCAGAGCACATGCGTGGGGGCACATCACCCCGTCACACGCCACGGCCCGAGGGTGGTGCTGATGGAGACAGGAGGCGTGGCCACTCCACACTGCAGGCTGAGCGGTCAGGAGACAGGCGTGGCTCAGCCCTGTGCCAAGGCCACCACTCAGACTCAGCTCCTGTGGCTGCAGCCCCACCGGGATGCCCCCTCTGGATGCCACCTCTGCGGGGCCGGCCCACTCGCTGTGACTTTCTCTGGTGGGGTTGCTGATGACCCCACTGTGCGGGGTTGACGGGAGCCCTTCAGGGACCCGGGAGGCGCTGTGCCCCCCATGAGGTATGTGGGCCCCGTTGATGGAGCAGAGCAGGTGTGTGGACACTTGTCCCGTGGCACCTGGCACCTGGGGCCTGCACTTGGGTGGGGCCAAGCAGGACCCCCACTCTGCTCTGCAAGCCTGGGCCTTGGCCTCAGAGGTGCCAGAGCCCATCCTAGGTGGAGTTAGAAACGGGCGTCTTTGAAAGTTTAACTCCAAGCGAGGCAGTGAGTGAAGCAGAAGAGGCCTCGCCAGGGCTCCCCCGACTCCCCCGCAGCCTCGGCCTCGCGCAGCTGGGGGTCCTTTCAGCAGGAACAGCCAGGCTGCCAGTGGAAGTGGGCAGCCATCCCCTGGCACCCACAGGGCTCGCAGCAGGCACGCCCAGGGTTGCACTGGCCCCCGGTCCCTGCTTCCATGGAGGCCCCAGCCCAGGGTGACCAACCCATCCCAAGTGCCCAGGACTCCCCTGCATCCCAGGAGCCTCCCATGTCTCCACCACACAGGGACACGTGGCCCCTCACATTGGCCCCCAGTCAGTGCTGCCCCCCAGCCGCCCGTCCCTCCGTCCTTGGGGAGGGCTCCACCTCATACACCTCATTCCTGTGGGGTGCCAGGGTGTCCAGGCATGGTGCGGGCGCCGAGGAAGCTGGGGGGCCCAGGTGGGCTTCCCACACTTCCTGTTGCCCAGCACAGTCACCTGGAGGAGGCTGTGAAGGGCCTGGGCTCCTGAGGCTGGCCAGGTCCACTGTGGCCAGGGGGTCCCTGCAAAGAACGTGACAATGATGAGGTCAGAGCCTGGAAGTGAGTGGCCAGTGTGCCATGCCCTATCGCGCCCTGGGGGTGCAGGCCCCACTCGCCCACACCCCCACCCCCGCTCCCCGTGTCGGGCCAAGGCTGCTGAGCCGCCCTTCCCACCCTTCCCATCCCGGCAGAGTGCCAGGTGGCGGTCCTGCTGGACCTGGCGCGGTCCTACCAGAGCTTGAGGCGGCACATGGAGACCGTGGAGCACAGGAGGTGCCTGGCTGCTCGGAGTGGGTGGGCGGGGGTGCTGAGGATGGAGAGGTCAGATGAGCGTGGGACCCACGAGGGAGCAGGGGCCTGCGGGGGCGGGTTTCAAGAACGGTGAGAGCTGTCGGGGCGCACATGCGTTCCAGCAATTGGTGAGGTGTGCATGGGGAGGGGGCGACTCGGCTGGGCCCTTGGCGCCAGCCCACGGGAGCCGGGTCTCCACAGCGCCTCCCAGCTGTCCCTGGAGGAGCCCGTCGAGGCGGCCATCCTGCTGAGCCTGGTGGGTGTCAAGAGCATCCTGGCAAACCAGTGGCCGACGCTGCTGCAGGACAACGCGCTGCGGGCCAGCGTCCTGTGGGAAAGTGCGTGGGCCCCGGGCACCCGGGCCTGTCCCGTGCCCCTTCAGCAAGGCTGCCAGGTGTCCATGCCTGCCTGAGGGGATGCTTCTCTCCCAGATCTGTTGGCCGTCGGGAAGCCGGTTGGAGAAACGGTGCGCCTCCTTCAGAAGATGACTGGCGAAGAGGCCGTGAACCAAGGTAGGGGAGGGGCGGCCTGCACCCCACAGCCTTCAGCACCCTCTGCAGCCGCTGCCCGTGGGGCACGTGCACCCCACAGCCCTGCGGGGACAGGTGTCTCCGCTTCTCCGTGGGGAACTGGGACTCCCGACGTTAACTAGGAGCCGGAAAGGGGGAGGGCTTGTTCTTGCCTGGAAGTTGCCGGCGTCTCTGCACTGCCCAGCCTCCCACGGTGGCAGCGACGGCCTCGGCAGCGACGGCCCACAACGCCACGTGGCTCCAGAGCCCAGGCACCCCCTCGGCAGCGACGGCCCACAACGCCACGTGGCTCCAGAGCCCAGAGGGAGAGGCTCGCGCTCATCAGACACAGCTGATTCCTCGCTGACAGCTCCAGTCACACAATCCCCTCGAGCCCAGGGCTCTCTGGGAACCGGTGGGAAATCCAGGAGGCAGCTGTGCCTGGCCCCTCCCCAAGCAAGGACTCGCAGGGGCCAACAGCCTGCACCACAGTGGCCGACGGCCCCGGATATGGCCAGGAGTCCCAGCCCAGGAAGAGGCCTCCCGGAAGAGGAATGCGTGGGTTGAGGGGTGTGTCCCGTTGGCCCCCTGGAGAGCAGGCTGCCTGTCACATGGCACCCAGCGCCCGTCTGTCTCTCAGCCTCACAGGGCAAAAGTCGGGAAGGGGCACGGGACATGGTCTGTTCTCAAACATGGACAGGTGGAACCCCACCCAGCCATCCTTCAGAGTCAGCCAAACCCTCCAGCCACGGTGAGGCAGGAGTAGCCACAGAGGAGCTTTCCGGGACCCTGAGTTGAGGCGCCCAGCAGTGCACGGAAGGGGTGGTCTGCCCTGACTAAGAAGGCTTCCCACAAGGCCTTCAGTATCCACCGCTCACCAGGAGTTTATCGTGTAAAGAGCACGTGGTCCACGGTCCGGGGATGCCGGACCCAAGGATCCCTGCTTGTCGGGGGAGGGAGGGAGCGAGGGGCAGGAGGAAGGCGGACGGAACCCACACTCATCCCTGCAAACGCAGAGCAGGGCGCAGACACGGATGCCGCAGACACGGATGCCGCGGTGGTGTGGCTGGTGTGAGGCCCACACGGTGCTCTGCAGGGGAATCGGGGAAGGGCAGAGCCAGGCCGGCTGTTCAGCTGCTGCTGCTCAGTGGTGACCTGCAAGTTCTGGTCCCTGCAATGCAGGCATGAGCCGGGGTGACTGACACTGTTCAAAAGGGGCAGAGGACGCTGCTCCCTGCAAGGCAACCCTAAGGCCGCAGCCACACCCTAGATGGGTGCCCCCCGAGCAGAGCAGCTCGCCTGGCCGAGGGGTAGTGGGGGGGGCATTGGGCTTCGGGTTAGGAGGTCCAGTCCTGGTGCCATCACCCGGCTGTGCGGGCCTGGACACCTCGGTGCGGGAGGGGTGCGGGTGGTGGGGGCACCTGGGAGGCCTGGCAAATGGCAGTGTGTTCCCCACAGCGCCCTCAGTCGGAGTAGCCGCTGCTCCCCGCGCCTGTGCCTTGGCCCTCACCGGGCTGGACGTCCTGCGGGGCCTCAGGGTTCACAGCTCCTGCCCCTTTCTCCACAGACGAGGCTTCTCAGACCTTGAAGGACAAGCTGCCGCTGCTCCAGAGCGCCGAGCTCCTTCCCACCACGCTCAACTTGGTCCTGTACGGGCTGCCGCACCACGCCATTGGCTAGCACAAGCCTGGACCTGCCTCCCGTCAGCTGCTGTGGCCCTAGCACCTGCCTCTGCCCTTGGCTCTGCCCCTCTGCCAACCCATCCCCACCTCCTGGCTCCCATCCCCAGCTCCCAGCTCTCTCTCCCCTTCCTGGGCCTCTCCCCAGCCCTCGGTGCAGCCTCAGCCAGAGATCCTTCCCCAGTGACTTCCGGCAAAACCGCCTTTCCCTGGGGTGAGGCACCCCCGGCAGGGCCTCCAGGTGCCCGGTGCACGGCTCAGAGCCCCAGCAGACAGAGCCTCTCAGCGCTGCACCGGGCACTAGTGCTGAGTTGCTCAGACCAGAAGCGCTGTTTGGACTGTGAGCCTGTTTGTGATCTGAGTGTTTCAGTGAACAACAAAAGCCAGTCTGTGTGTGGTGTCTGTGACTTGAGGCTCCGGGTGGGGGGCTCCTGGCCCAGCACCTTCTGGGACGCTGGCCCGCGAGAAATGCGCCCCCTGAACCCAGCAGCTTTCCAGCGTGGAGGTGGGGGTGGGGCTCACTCCAGCCCAGGCCACGTCCCCTGCACATGTGCAGGGCCCCTCAGAAGGAACCTTCCAGAACAAAGAGGCTCGTGGCGGGGCGGAGGGTCTGTGCCAGCGAGCACCATGCAGAGCTTCTCGTGAGGAGATGCTTTTCTTCCGTGCACACTCCTGGTGGCTGCGGCGTCCAGGGGCTCCTGGGGGAGAAAGGTGCCTCCAGATGGCCTTTCTGAGCTTCTGGGTCTGTCTCTCCCACCTCAGCCAGATGGGTGGGGGCTGGGGGTCCACGGGAGGACCATGGGGCCTGCAGAGCCTTCTGGGGACTCGCCCTCCGGCCACACACATGGGCTCTGGCCAAGAAGAGGGGAAGGCCCAGGACAGCCCTGAAGGGCCAGAGTGCGAGCCTCGCGTGTTCCCGCCGGCGCTCATGCCTGCCCTCTGCATGGAGCTGTTTCTTCAGCCTGGGACCTGAAAGGTGAAGGCAGAGGGGCAGCCCCCTCCCGCCGTGGGCAACAGGAGCTCAGTGCGGGAGCCACGTGAGGCCAAGGCTGCCTGTGCAACCGCAGAATCTCCTCCATGTCTGATGGGGCAGCAGGGGCAACGTGCCGTGAGGGAGGGAAGGGTCTGCTGAAGGCGTTCCTGCCCACACTGCGCCCGTGGAGCCCACGCGCCCAGCTGGGCACCCATCCAACTGCTGCGGGGCACTGACACCAGGCCAAAGAGAGCCCAGACAGCTGGGTCAGGACAGGTGGCCCCAAAATTGTCCAAAATAGGTCTATGGGCCAGGTACAGTGGCCCACGCCTGTAACCCCAGCACTTTGGGAAGCTGAGGCAGGTGGATCACAAGGTCAATACATCAAGACCATCCTGGTCAACATGGTGAAACCCTGTCTCTACTAAAAATACAAAAATTAGCTGGGCGTGGTGGTGCTCACCTGTAGTCCCAGCTACTCGGGAGGCTGAGGCAAGAGAATCACTTGAACCCAGGAGGCGGAGCTTGCAGTGGGCCGAGATCGCACCACTGCACTCCAGCCTGGGCGACAGAGCAAGACTCCGTCTCAAATTTTAAAAAAAAGAAAAAAAAAAAGGTCTACGTACCTATTCCTATAGCTGGAATTTAAAAAACAATAAGGATAACATCAAATGCTGTGAGGACACCAGGAAATGGGCTCTCACACATTGTGGTGCAGCGTCTTTGGAAAACAGTTTACCTGATTCTTGTCAAGCCAAAACTCAGCAACTGCACTGTTAGGCGTTTAGCCCAGAGGGCGGGAAATACACTTTCACACAAATGCACACACGCGTGTTCATAGCAACCCTGTGTCCGTCCACAAGCAAACGGTCAAACCCTGCTCTGTCCACTCGGGGTTAACACTGCCTGGCAACAGAAGCAAAGGAATGGTGGCTCCGGCCCGGACAGACCTCCAGGACTTGGGCTGAGGACAAAGCCAGCCTCAGAAGCTTCACCCACGGCAGGGTGCGGCTTGCAGAGTGTCTCAAAGCGGCCGAGCTCTAGCACTGCACAGTGAGTGCGCCTGGCACGGGGGCCGGCGGCTGACACACCAGTTGTGTGTCTTGATTGTGACAGCAATGCCCGTCGCTGCCTGAGGAAGGAACGCCTGTACAAGTGGTGAAAACAGACCACAGCACCCGCAGTTCACCGAGAGCGTGAACCAGTCTCACGTCCCGGCTTTGCCGCCTGCTGCAGCTGTGCCGTGTCACCGCTGGGGAAGCCGGGAGCGGACATGCGGCGCCATGCCCGTTGTTGCAACTCCCTGTGAATCTATCATTAATTTGACATAAAAATTTTAAATGCACATCTTTGATAATATTGAAAGGTTATGTGTGATTTCCCTTTTTTGTTTGATTTTTCTTTTTTCAAATATATACACATACTTGTTTCAGTTTAGGAAAAAAAAAAAAAAAGCTAACTAATGACCAGGAAATAAATTCAAATCAGAGCTGCGCTGGAAATATGGGTTCCCTTCTATGGAGCTGCTGGCGCCCACCCAAACAACAAGAATAAAAGCTTCTGGAAATATTTCATCCGTGCAGTACCACATTTTTTACCCTGCGCTGTGTCCACGCATGTGAGAAATATTAAACAGTGAGTGCTGTTCCATGCATCACAGGCTTTAAAATAACTTTCTGAATTATGTCCCGGCAACATAACAAATCACGTTATCAATTAGCTTCCATAACAGAAGTGGCATTCTGTAATATATTCAAGCATAAAAAAATTGCATCGGTGAAATTTATGTAACCCTAAAAACTATAAGGCCAGAGCAGAAGGCTTGGAATTTATTGGAGATGATGGGGGACGGAGGGTGGTCTCGCGGTGTCAGCCCTCAGCCTGCAGGCCCTGAGCACACCGCAGAAACCACGCGGACTGTGGGGGCCGGGACTTCCAGGAGATGCGAAACCAGCCGGCAGGCCCCCAGCCCAGGCCTCCCTTGGGATGGGGGAGGCAGGGACCCTCCTGCACTGCTGTCCCCACTCGGGCAGTGACCGGGTGAGCACAGGCCCCAGGCCACACGCTCGGCAGCCCCATCTTCTCCCTGGAAAGCAGCTGGAAACCTGGCCCGGGCCTTCGGGAGAGCACGAGGTGAGGCTCACTGTGCCCAGGCTGGGGGCTGCCCCCCCAACTTCCTGACTGCGTGCTGGGCGAGGTGACTTCCCTCCAGCCCTGGTGATTCCCTCCCACGAGGCCTCGTCCTGCTTGGGTCCCAGGTGGGTGGAGGGCACCCCCAGTAAGCCGCCCAATTTGGTGCCCTCAGTTCTTCCACCCTCTAAAAACGTCCATTTATTAGTTTACAGATTGAAAATGTTTACACATTTAGAACGAGGGTTTTTAGGAAGCGCTCCCTCGTAGCCCGCACCCAAAGCCACACCAGACGGCAATGTTAAGGGGTCCTTTCTGTCTCCCGTCAGCCTCCGTTCCTGCACAGTGAAGCTTGTGCTGCGTCTCCAGTACCTTTCCCGGCTTCCCCACTTGGAAATGGTCAAGTCCGAGTCCTCGTTTAAAGCCCCCCTTACCCTGCGACAAGCACCTGGCAAGGAACCTCTAAAGGAGTGTAAGTCCCGGCAGCCCGGTCTCTGGAACGCAGCCTCAGCCCCTCACTGCACCGGCGGAGGGGGCCTCTCTGGACAGGGTGGGGCGACAGGGCCCCATCAGGTCTGGGCCACAGCAGAGTGGGCTGGGGGGCCTGGGCACAGCTGGTGCTCCCCGTCCCATACCCACTGGGGTCACACACGTGTAGCTTGGAAGGTGGGTCCCCGAAGTTCCCACCCAAAAGGCCGAGGGAAGGCCAAAAGGTGTGGCCAGCACCCTGCAGTCGTTCCTCTTTTAATCCCCAGGTGCACCTGCCGCCCCCTGACCCCTACCCCACCTCCGCCTCTCCCTGCTTTGGCAGCCTCAGGCCCTCCCCTGCAGCCTGGGGGCCTGTCCTGGTGCCCTTGGGTTCCTGGAGCTCCCGGTTTGTCCCCTGAGCCACGCCCTGGCCGTCCTCCCCGGAAACACGGGCTCTGGGCCGCAGCTTACAGGCACAGCCAAGAGGCCTTTCAGACGGATTTGGATGAAGGAATTAGGCGGGTTAATAAAACTAAAATGTTCACAGATGCTTGTATATAAATTTCTATTAAGTTGCCTCATCCAACACTGGTCTCTAATAGTTTAATTTCTGTGTTAAATAATTAAAACTCTATCTTCAATTGCTGTGAACAATTGTTTTCCTTAATGATCTTCCCAGAGGAGCCAGTAATTTTATATCTTGTAAAAATGATTAAATGGCATCATTATCCCATATCTCTGAAATATAACTCAGCAACTCCAGGAGAGGCCATTTGTATTCAATTAACGCTCCCTCGTGCGAGACGTGGTGTCACCTCACGCCAGCCTCACCCGGCTGTCCTCTTTTATGATGACGATGATGAAGATGGAAACAACCAGTTTAATTATCCCATTTCCAACACAGAAATCAATTTCCAATACGTCTTCACCCGTAAAAAAAAAAGGCAGCCGTGGTTCCTGGGAAGGGCAGGAGGAGCGAGAGTCCTGCGAGGGGACAGCGCTGTGGGGACAGGGCCGTGGAGACCCGGCCAAGGGGGTGGACCTGAGGCTCTGGGGTCGGTCAGCTGCTCATCCCCCTCCCAGCCCCCTTCCCACGTGCAGGGCTGGGCCCTGGGAGCTCCCTGCCCCTCCTTGCTGAGCTCAGGGCTCTGCACCCTCAGAGGGGCCTGGGCCCCCCACCTCTGTCCTGTTCCCAGGGGTTACCCTCCCCTGCCCCTCTGGGGCGTGGGTTCCTGGGATGCTCCCGCTTGCTGGGCCGACATGCTGACCCCCATCGGCCCGTCCTGCTGTCCTGGAGTGGCTTTAGCGTGGCGCAGAGCCACTCCTGCTGTTAGGGTGACTCGAGGGACACGCCTGCCTGGCTACTCATCACTGTGCTAGTGGCCAATATAATCTAATTGTTTGACATTTTTATCACAATTCACTGGGACCGGAGTGAGATGGCTAGACTGACACCCCGTGCAGTCGGCTAATGGCCACACAATTACGGGGAGCTCTTACATGTTCTTATTACGGATTTTAATTCTTTGTGACAAGAGGCAAGAGATGGGTTAAGATAATGGGGACGCGGCTGAACTCCACCTGCTGCCTGCGGCTGGGGCCCACCCAGACCTGCCCATCTTTCTGGCCCTGCCCTGAGTCCAGCCTGGGGGGGGGGTTGGGGTGCTGGAGGGACTTGGGGTGTTCAACATCCCAAGGGGCAGAGACCAGGGAGGGTCCCTACAACCCCTGACCCCAGGAGACCTCGTCTTTGGAAGGAGGCTCTTGAGGCCTAGGCTGGAGGCCCCTGCGGAGCCCGTACCCCACAACCCTGAGGGCAGAAGGCTGGACCCAGGACTGTCCTGGGGGGCCTTTTAAGGGGCTTGAAAAGGATTTTTCTTGGGAATCCCAGCCCCAGAATGCACTGCCACCTTTGAGGAGCTTGGAGACCTCAGCCCCTAAATACTAGCTGACCTACAATGGGGTGAGGCAGCCCCCCACCAATATCAAGCCCTAGGAGAGGGAGAGCCTCAGGGCTTGGGGCCACAGGACTCACTCAGAAGGGAGGGGAGTGGCTCCATCACAAGTAGCTTTGCTCTCTGGGCTGTAGGGGCCGCTCCCCTCCCTTCTCAGCATCACTGAGCCCCAGCCCTGCAGGGACAGGGCCCGAGACTTCCCAGAATCCTGTGCCTCTCCCTGGGCCCCATTCTTGCCGATCGAAGAAATGGGGGTCAGAGAGAACCAGGTCCCTTAGTAACAGACCCCCCATTCCTGGCCAGGTGTGTGGCCAGCTTCCCAGTGTCCCTGAGAAATCTCACGCCTGTAATCCCAGCACTTCGGGAGGCCGAGGCAGGTGGATCACGAGGTCAAGAGATTAAGACCATCCTGGCCAACATG